AGCAGGAAAATCGCTTGGTAAAATCTGCATCAGTGGACAGCAAAGCACAAATGGCTTCCTTCAAAGTTGCATACAGAATTGCACAGTGCAAAAAACCACACACAATTGCTGAGCAGCTCATTCTCCCTGCTGCTGTAGACGTGTCGATTATGCTGGATGAGACAAGTGCTGCAAAATTGAAAACTATCCCCCTGTCAAACGATACAGCTGCACTTATATTTTATCTGTTTTGAACTTGGTGTTGTTTGATATTTCAGTACATTTGAAATTTTAAAAATGGCCAATGCTGTTATAATTTTTTGACAAGTGGGGAATAACAAAAAATGTTTGAGAACCACTGGGTTAAAGACAGGTTGAAGATGTCTGTATACACACTAGCTAGTTGATCCCCCCAGGCTTTCAGAACTCTAGGGGAGACACCGTCTCGTCCCGCAGCCTTATGGGGATTCACCTGTTTCAGTGGCTTCAGAACCTGTGTGTGCGTTACCTGATAAGCAGTGTCCACCAGGGAACAGGGGGATTTTGAGGGGGTATCCGTGTTCAGCCTGTCAAACCTGGCATAGAGGTTATTAAGGCTGTCCAGGAGGGTGATGTCATGGGAGACTGTGATCGTTGATTTGTTCCTGAAGTATGTGACTGCCTGGATTCCCTGCTACAAGCTGCATATGTTGTTAACTTACAATATTAAATAAATATTTCTGTAATTTCTTTGCAGAGGGACGCCTCAAAGATGTACACGAGCGAAGACCCAAGCTGGTAAAGAAAACAGCAATATATTGTTACCAGCTTTTACCAATTCACTTCAATTCACTTTTAAATAGACTAGATTGTTTCAAACCAACCCTTCCATAGGCTACTCTTAATTCAGCTTCTGCTGTGAAAAAATGGATCCCCCGCATCAAGAATGAAATTGAGTATTATTTACAGGTAAGGTAATTTTTTAAGGTGTACAGCACTCTTTAATGTAATTATATATGGCTGCCAGTGACTGAATGGATGCGTGTTTTATTTTTTCTCTCTTCAATGTCAGCAATCCCAGCTTTCTCATTATCCCGAGAGGAAGATAGCTGAGTTCAAGCTGCACATTGAGGCTTTAGAAAAAGAGTACAAAAGCTTCACTGCCAAACTACGAGTACTTGATCCTTTATGCCAACATAAACCGTGGACCCCTCGAGCATACTGCAAAAGAAGAGCAGAGACACAAAACTCTCCATACATGGGTCAGTGTGTTAAATGTTATGTCTTATATACTATGAAAGCTGTTGGGAAATAATAATGTAGTACACAAACTATCCACATCATGTGTTCCTGTTTCTGTACCTTACACCTACTAGATGTATATTCTAGATTGTCTTCCTGTTTGGCTGTCCTTTAAAAGATAGTTAATGTACAAATGTTGAAATGTAGATGAAGGTTGCATAACAGGATAACACATGCACCCAAAAGGTGGTAGTGCAATCTTTGAGTTTTCAAAAATGATGGCGCTAATGATCATACGTATGTTATAAGCAGTTTGTGTAGCACAGTGGTTGTAATTTGAAGTCACATGGTTTACTTGAGTTCCAAGTCCATTATTTACCTCATTGAGTTCATTTGAAAAAGGTAAAATAAAGACGGGGTTTTCCATGGCTCTTAAAGTTGAGGTGTGCATGCAGGCCACTGTGCCGAATAAATTAGTCTAATAGAAACACTTTTAATTACATTGACAAAGAAACTCTCTTAAGTGGATCAGTCATGTGACCTGATTCTAACAACAGGGCCTATCCAGCATGTCAGATTGGTACATCCTTAGTTTGAAGAGTCTTTAAGGATTGTGAACAACAGTTAAATTGTATTTCTGTATTTTTCTTCTACAGCCTTCATACAGTCAAAACAGCAGCACAGTTCAGGTAGTTACATATATAGCAATGTTAAATATTCCACTTATCAGGCATTGCAAATTAGCTAACCTTTGACTGGTAGTGTACATGATATAAATATAGTATTTTTACATTATAAACTATATGTGTGCAGTGTGTTCATGCCATTTATACATGTGTGTCTCCACAGCTCTGATTTATATCACCCTGGAGATACATTGTGCTTCCTCCAGAGTCTCTGTATAACTTTTTATTGTTGTCCAATCTGCTTTAATATTGGGGTGATTTGGGCTTTAAGACACTAGCAGTTGACAGTTATACTGTATGTGTCATCACTCTGGTTCACAGTTAAAAGCCTTCGGTGCAGCGACTCACACAAAGACAGCAGTCAGTCGAGTGGAGGCGAGAGTGACCCTGCCAGCAGCTGGACAGGATGTCACAAAATTTCAGCCACTGAGAGACAGGGACCTCTCAGCCATTTGAAGGGCAGATTTCAAAACCCTATCACCATCAACCTGGCCTCAGGGACCTCACAGGCAGTTTGTGCAGACCAGGATCAGCCCCTCTCCTTTGACCATACACGACTGGCTGTGGCTACTGCTGCGTTCAGAGGAACATCAGTTCAGCTCAAATCATCTCCAACTCAGAGCCTAGCCATGGTGCTGCAATCTGGCCTGCCAAACCTCAGTAGTGCTCCAACAGGACAAACATTTTCATTGCATAGCAGAGGCACAGAGAATGGAACAACAGTGGGATCATTTGGTGCTGTCCAAGAGCACAAATCAGACTTTGACACAGCAGAAAGGGTACCAAAGAAATCATCAGACACTAACACAACAGAGGAGAGGACAGGACATGTCCTGGGACTAGACTGTTATTCTTCGTCTGATGAGGACTGTGGCACATGATATGTTACAGCTTTCCACATTTTTCTAAATTTTTATTTATTGTATTATTTAATCAAACATCTTTTATGTTATGTGTTTATTCAAAGGCTTCTGAGTGGTGATGTTTGTATGAATAAGATCAATATGACAATTATGGCAACATTTCTGAAAAATACCTAGTACTAAAAAACAGATTTTTACAACTTTTTACTCTAATCAAATCCTATTTCCTTTAGAAAAGACCTACATTTAGTATTTAAGATGTCATGCTGTGCTCTTTTTCTGAAATTTAAAGGACAGAGAATCTTAATAACATATGAGAATGTTATGATACAGTTAAATATAGAAAACATTACTGATTTAATGAAAGATACAATAAAATCTTGAATTACAAACTCAAAGTATCTGCTGCGTAAAGGAAAAGGTATGTTTGCAGAAAAGGAACAAGTCATGTCATTTAGAAATTCATTGACGTTCTCAGGCATTACCCATCTATGACCACAAATGCCTCTACTGTATAACAGAAAGGCAGGAGACTGTGTGAGAAAGAATAATTGTTAGAAATACTTGCTGAATCAGTGATTCGTTTTAGTTTCCTCGTCTGGTTTTATCAGCTGAAGCAGAAACTGTTGCACAACTTGGTTAGACCCCAAAACCCCACCTTCCCACCTAACTCATTCTGAGCTGCCGTTGCTGCTGCTGCGAGGGCTGCTTTCAATACGACACTTCTGGGAAACAGACTCATCAGCTTTTGGAGTGCAGACACTGTGCAGTTTGACATAGTTACACTTTTAGTTAGAATGTTTTATTCACACTGCAAGGTGGGTTTCCCTTTGCCTGTAGAGGGACCTGGAGAAATAAAACAAAATTTACACAACCGACCTAAAGCCTGAGAATTTCCTTTGCAGTTACCATGATTTACACAATACTGGCTTAGCTTCACAGTGTAAATCTTAATGATTGAAGCAGTTTGTTCATTTTTTATGTGAGGCAGCACTGCTGCGGCACCCTCCACTACAAGGCTGGTTGACTCTTGCATCGCAGGTTCCCGTCTATGACGTTGAAAAGGTGCCCTTTATCAAAAACCACCAAAACCCCTCAAAGGCCTGCTCACTAATATTTGGAAACTTATTTTCTTGATTAAACAACAGCTAGGAGCTGAGGTCTTATGGAAAGTGCAGCAACCACAATGAAAAAACGGTGTAATTGCTCCATGTCCTAGCAAATTAACTCCAAAGTTCAGAAAGACCACAGCGATATTAACTCTTCACTGAGTGGGGAGGAAGGCGGTATGTGTGTCTATGTTCAGCTTTCCTGTAAGCTCATCTCTGAGGTATTTGCTGGGGTTAATTCCCACCTCTGTAAAGTATTGTCTTGCTTGCTACCGGCGCTTCACAGAAGCACCCAGTACAAAAGCCAATGCACAGACAGTTCTTTTCATGTGGCAGCAGCATCTCCCCACCAAGAATACGTTGTGTGCTACTGAAACTGCTGTATCACTGTTTACTAACACAATGTTCCCCATAAAGACTGATCTGTAAGAATAATGCATTTTAATTATAGTGGATTTTTGAACTGGTTGACTCCAAAAGATATGAGATTCATGGTTCAGAGTTGAAGGAGCACACCTAAAAAGCCAGCTTCGAGTGTTCAAAAGAAAATCCCCAGCAATGGTTAGTTTGTTTGTAACAAGTCTGTTACCTCGGCCACAAGACCTGGTGTATACAAAATGCTCGACACGTGTCTATGACCAGTAAAGCTTTTCTTTATTGGAACTTATAAAAAATGTTTCATCTTCTGTGTTGGTGGTGGTTAGTGAAGTGGGGGTCAGCAGAAACCTCTAGCTTCCTTTGTCTTCACATTTAGCTGCAGTGCTGTATGCACACAGCACAGTGCTTAAACAGAGGTAAACTAGTAAATATTGTACATGAAACACACAAACTGTGTAATAAAATACCATGCACCAAGGCAATCCAGAAGAGAAGAATAGATGGACTGACAGGTGGATATGTATCTTGTCTGATGTAACTATGACAAGTGATGTGCACTTGTCTTCAGTCAGTGGTATGTGTGGGACGGCCTTGTGGGTGTTAACTTGCTTATTTAATACAGAGGTGCTCAGACATAAGTACACACCTTCTTTGTGCAGAGGCAACAGATACGCACACAGTTTGTCTCACTGTGGGACCTGCACCATGAGCTACGACCAGAGCTATCCATTCCCACAGGTGTTCCTTGTTGATGAAGGTGGGGGTCCACAGATGTCCTCCCAGCCCCCGAATCTTGTACCATGCTGGTCCTTCCCACCTGCCCAGGAGAGGATGAGGAAGCGTGAGAAGAACTGGATGGGAGTCAGCCCCAGTGTGGCCCTGATCGTGCTGTTGCTGTTCCTGCTTGTGTTTGCAGCCCTGGGCTTTGAAGCCTACCAGATTCACAACATGCAAAAACAGCTGAGAGATATGAGACAGGTAAGGAGCCACTGCTTGTGATGAACATGGAAGTGAACACTGACAGCCAGAAAAGAGTCATAACAGAGTTTTTTCAAATGTTGTCACTATGTACTCAATTAAGTAGCTAATGCTGACTCGGCAGTGTGTCAAAATCAATAGTTGAGATATTGAAAAGCAAAAAGAATTTTAAAATATGATAGAGGTATGTAGATTATATAAACATTAATAAATATTTAAATGATCACTCTTGGCAAAGTGAGTAGCAAAGTCATTGATGGGCAGTGAAAAAAATAATGTCAATATTAATCATTTTCTATTGTGTTATATAACATTGCTCCTTGAAGTTTTAATGTGGGCAAAGCTACAAAAATATAAAAGGTGTGACTTCTCTCACCTTTGCATAAGAGAGGCCATGATAGAGAGGTGTAAGGTGGGAGCATGGAAACATGGCTGGAAAGTTAACACAAAGATACAAAAATGAATAATTAATTCACCTCTGAGTTTGCTATCAGTGGAAGAGTTAATGTACCTCAGCTCTCCTCTGACATTTCAAGATGCAAACCAGGGACATAATCGTTCCATTTGTGGTCACCAGTCCAGTGAGACAGGATATCCTCTCTAACTCTTGCTCTGAGAGAACTTTTCGAGGTACAAGCGCGTGGTGTGATGTGTGATGTGGTATTGAGATTTCTCTCTCTTTCATTTCATTAAAGGACAAACCTGAGACAGAGTTTTCTGCAATGCAGAAGCAAATTAGTAAGTATGAGTACGAGCCACCAGACATTAATCATCCTCAACAAAGTGACAATGTTCCCAAATAGAGGTAGAGTTGATGTGACTCTAATGTGGGGGTTGTTTCAGGTCTCTCTGAACGTGGGTTGAATGAAGAAGACAACAGACCTGCAGCACATGTGATAGGTAACATCATTAGTATTGAAATTTAAGCTACACTCTGATCTTTTTTTCTACATATTTGGTAAGCTCATGTCTCTCCTCTTGCAGGGCGGATCGAAACAATGCCGTTTCCTCCGACTATTAAGACTTTGCGTTGGGAGCCAAGTGCAGGGCGGGCATTTGTATCTGGAGGAGTGACTTACAAGGCTGAGGATGGCGCTCTGCAGGTCAACGAGACCGGACTCTACCACATTTACTCACGGGTGGAGTTGATCTTGAAAAACTGTAACCCAACATCTGAGTTTGTGCACTGGGTGTTTGTGAGGAGAACGGGACAGACCTCACCACTGCCCCTGATGGAGGCCCACAGAGCAGGTTTCTGCACCCAGCAGCCAGGGCACTCCTGGACCACAGAGAGTTATCTCGGCTCTGCCCTGAAACTGCGGAAGTTTGACAGAGTCTTTGTGAATGTATCACACCCCAACTTTCTTAGTCATACACATTATGCTAACTTCTTTGGTCTCTACAAGATCTAAAGACATCAGGAAGATAGCTTTTGTTTTTTCATGTTTTACTCCAATGAAAGAATGTAATCTGCTCTGAAAGTCTCAGGCAGGACCAAATCTTACCCATAACTGCACTGAATGTTGCAATATGACAGACTCTGTGATGTTAAAACTCAGGGGAAATATTGCACATTGTCTATTGCCAGCTTTTAAACTGGTGGTTCATTGAGGCAGTTTCCACACCTATGCATATACAAATATTCTGCATGTTACAAATGTTGAGATAATTAGTTAACACTAAGATGCTTTTTTGTTGTATTTTTTAAATATTTATTTTGGTGTGGACATTATGAAACAGAAAAAAATGTTATATTATGATTGTTCAAAGTAAATAAAGAGATCAGAGAGAAGTCTTTCTCAGTGAAACCTGAAGGTGTTTCATGTTTGAGCACCCACATATGTTTTATTCATGACCACTGGAAAGACACCAACAATTTTCATATGTTCCACTGTGGTACAGCAGCCATCTAAAATGAAACCTGCTAGTTGACATCTCTGAAGCAGCTAAAACGTGGATAGAATTGCTTCTGCTTAATCCATCCATCCATTATCTTAGTCTTTATTCATTATCAATATCATTGTCTTATTCCTGAATAGGGTGGCAGGGGGAACCAGTCCGAGCCGACATTAGGTGAGAGGTGGAGTACACCCTGGACAGGTCGCCAGTCTATCACAGCTTCTGCTTCATTGAATGTTTAAAATTGTGGACTACAGATAAGTGCACTTGCACTTCTGCACTGCTTCATTGCACTGTTCTTTTTCAGTACACCACAAAGATATGTTAGATGAGTGCAAGACGATATGCAGGCTGGGCACAGCTGGGGGGGGATACAAAACAGTGGTGGGTCTGACATGCGTTTCCTTCCTGTGTGAATACCAGGGTCTCAAATGCACGCAAGCTGATTTTTGTAAAAGACTTTCTGCTTCCTTGAATCATTATAGTGAACATCCATACTTGAATGTTTCTGAGTATAACACAGTATGAGCTGAAGAATCCTTTAGAACATGAACAAACTTCTGTTTTTCTGTCGTTTTTGTCTAAACCACAAATTACTCATAGACTCTCGGTGGTTCCTGATCAATGGAAACAAAACTGGTTTGACTCGGCCAAGTCTGCATGACACATTTTTGTGTAGTGCGATGTTTCCCATGAGCAGGTTTAAGGCAATCAGCTGGTTCATCAGAGATGGTGATGGTCTGCCATCATTTCTGCAATTGCAGACTTGTGGTTACATCTTGTTCCAATAATCGCTTTTTTACTTGTCACAATACTGGTGGAGATACCCTGCCTTGAAGCTCTCTTTGTACTATAAAACATTCTGTAGCCATAAAAGTGGGCTGTGGCTGTAAGCAAATTTTTACTCTCACATACTGTACAACCACAGCTGACCTGTTGGAAAAACTGCACAGACCCATAATCTGGATCTGTTTGTCTGCATTAGATTAAACACACATGTAATCATGATAATTCTTGAAGAGTAAATCCTGGTGGCATGGCGGCGCAGTGATTAGCGCTGTTGCCTCACAGCAAGAGTGACCCAGGGGCTTTTTGTGTGGAGTTTGCATGTTACCCTGTGCCTGTATGGGTTCTCTCCGGGTACTCCAGCTTCCTCCCACAGTCCAAAGACATGCAGCTTAGGTTGACTGGTGACTCTACATTACCTGTAGGAGTGAGTGTGTGTGTGGTTGTTTAAGTGTCAGCCCTGTGATAGACTGGCAACCTGTCCAGGGTGTACCCCACCTCTCGCCCAATGTCAGCCGGGATTGGCTCCAGGCCCCCCTGCGACCTTTGTTTGGATAAACAGTATAGATAATGGATGGATATTTAAATCATAGGACAACACTCAGTTATTTTGCTCTTCTTTTTTTCTCCCATCCCTCTACCTCTAAACAGTAACATGCTGAGTTTTGTACAGTAAAGTTAGATGGTTCTTAAAGTGCAGCCCTTTGAGCTTGAGGACAAAAACATAACTCTTTTTCTGTACCAAAATTCAAACAAAGCATAAATGATGGCACAAGGGTGGAACATCTAACCAGAAACTGCATCGGTCTGTCCCAGACTACCCAAGCTCCATTGTGATTGCTGTTGAATGTATTTTTGTACACACGACTACAGATATTGTGTCCTACTCAGTGGAGGTGAGGGTAGTAGAATAGGGAACAAAATCTGCAATCTACATCAAAAAGGTTTTGCATGTCATCATCTTTCATCTGAGCTATTCTCACTGGTTTCAAGTGGGTGGAGTTCAGTTGGAAACAGACTGCATTAGAGAGGGACCCCTTCACAGCCAGAATGGAGAGGGGAAACAATATAGTGACCACAAACTGTTTCTATGTACTTCTGTCTCTTGAAATAGTAATTTATAGTATTTACATCACAATTTAGAGTGTTGACAGGAATAAAGTGGCCAACAGGGTCCAGTTTTACTACGGTAGTGGAAAAGGTTTGCAGACACTCTCAGCCTCTCGGTTATAGTTCAAATTGAAAAGTAGGCATCAAAATCTGAAGTGTTTCTCTATATCATTTATGATTAAATAAATGATAAAAAAACAGTGAACCAACAAAACATTCAAGTTTTACATTCAAACTAAGTTAATCTGCTCCACCAGGAATGTGGGTTTCATCAGATTTGATAGTGACTAAATAATCCACCGTCACGAGCTTGTGATTCAGATGTTGCCCAAATGCTGACTTTTGCGGCACATTTTCAATTGACCTCCAATCACTTAGAACCAATGAGAAGGGCTCCAATATAAACATAAATTCAAAACCTTTCTAACTTTGGCAGAAAATACTATGTTCATGTAGAATCATTCATAGTAAGAAGGTGACTAGAAAATAGGTTTCAGGGTTTTTAAGGGAACCTAAATGCCACATAACATGTTATTTTAGATAAAGTCTGCTTCCAGCTTGGTGACAACAGGTTGAGGAAGATCTTTTCCTGTTTCAGTATAACAGTGTCACTGTACACAAAGTGAGGCCCACAAAGAAATGCGTCTTCGATATGGCATGAAAAACTCTGCTGGAACACTAACTGTGACTCAGGCCTCATCCACCACAGCAGTGTAGGACCTCACTAATGCTCTTTTGGCTGAATGGTAGAAAATCACTGCAGCCAGGTTAAAAAGCTTTGGGGGGAGATCCCTCAGGAGCACAGAAGCTGATATTGTAACATAATTATGGAATTCCATATACACAATACCGTACATAGTATGCACAATATATATACGTATATCTATAGGGTGCAGTTAAGCGCGTTGATCGAAACTCACCCGTAGGTTTCATAGTCAAAACATTCAGCGACTCCTTGTGCCCAAGTGTATTAAACACTCCTGCAGATGATACTGTATGACCTGTGTAAATAGAGGTGCAGAGGATTCTGATCTTCACCTTGTCTTTAGCTCCATCTATCAAATATTTCATGAACTGCATTTAATCTCAGCACAGTAATGCTGTTGGTGGCAACAAAAAATATTTAAAGACTGGCTTTAGAGAGACACACAAGCGAAGCAGACACAGTCAGGGTCGCCGTATAAAGCTGCCGATGTCACAGGGTGAACTCAATTATAAAGCCAGATGAGAATAAGTGAAACACTGTGTCTTTAATAAGAGTAGTGATGGCCGTTTGACACCCAAGGCTCCGACACATGCACGGTAGCTCATAAAGCAATTGTTTCGAACCACTGTGCCGAGGCGTGTTTCGGTCACGTGACTAGTGACGTTTGAATCACTTGAGTGACGTCAGAAGCAGTTGGGTTCGTCGGACGCCAGGTGAATCAGTTGATTGGTTCGGTTTGTCATGTGAATCACTTTGGATCAAGTGCGTTCAGAGACAGGATATCCCTATTTAGTGACGTTCATTTGAATCTGTCTTTGCAGAGTTGGTTGGTTTGTTGCTTTGAGAGTTAGTAGTGTTGTAGCAGATTGTGTATTTAGTGGAGAATCACTGTAGATAGAGAGATAGATCAATAGATAACTAGATAGTAAGTTACATAGAGAAATAGATAAAATAGTTACATAGATAAATAACATTAGATATAGTTACATAGATAGTCCTAAATAACATTAGATATAGATAAGATATATTGCATATATAGTTACCCAAACCTCTATGAATTAGCATTTCCTGTTTACTCCAGCCTCATCTGTGCCATGTGAACAAGTTTTTTCCAAGACTGGGGAAATAATAATAATAATAATAAAGATTTATTTATATAGCACTTTACAACTCCGGGGATTACAAAATGCTGCACAATAGAACATGTATATCAACTAAAAAACAATACTAGAACAATAAAACCTAAGCAAGAATAAAACAAATTTCCAAAATTAGCAATAAAACTCTTCCATATCAAGATACAAATAGCATAAAACAAAAAGTTAAAAGACGTCCCTTCGGGACACATAAAACGCCAAAGGCCTGTTTAAAAAGGTGAGTTTTTAAAGTTGACTTAAA